CAACAGCAGTTTGATTTTGTCAATCTGCACCAGGAAGGTTTTTAAATTAAATGACTCCGAGAATCTACAGTCTGAGATCCGGTTTATCTTTAATTTCTCGGTAGCAGGTTAGACAGCCTGAAAGTCTCCTTCTTGGAAACACCTAAAGGTGCTAGCTAGAAAATAACCTGCTTTTTAAATACATAGCTGAGCTGTCAGGAAAGTAAGCAAAGTCCTCCAGGGCCCACGCTGAGGGCCGCGACCCTCACCAGGTAGGGGCTGGTGTTAAGGCCACGCGGAAAGCTGGACCGTGGAAAAGCGACACTTTTAGGGAAAGGGATGGAAGAAATCCCACCCACAGACACAGGAAGACACAAGGAACTTTGGGCTCTGGGTGGGAAAAAAGTTTGCCTTGAGAGTTCCATGTTTTCAGGCACGCTTTCTGAAAGTTTGGAGTGCCTACCAAGGATTCACCCCATCCGTGTGGCCCAGGAGCCCCAACATTGAGAAATTAACATTAAAAAGTAGCTGTGGCTTGGAAGCATCCCTGGGGGTCCGGGCAAATACACTTGGAAAACCTCTCTGATGGTTCCCTGAGGCCCGGACACCCAAGATTTCTCACATAAAGCCCCTCTGAGGCTGAGCTCACAGTCCAAAATTATAGAGCACACGAGGGAACAAATCACAGTGAATGGAAGCTAAAAAACACCAAAAGGAGGGACGCCTGCGTGGCTCAGTGGGTTGAGCATCTGACTCTTGATTTCAGCTCCGGTCACCATCTCACGGTTTATGGGACTGTGTGCTGAGCCTGCTTGGGATTCTCTCTCTCTCTCTCTCTCTCTCTCTGCCCCTCCCCTGCTCTCTCTCTGTCTCTCAAAAATAAATAAACAAACAATTTTTTAAATGTTTATTTATTTTTGAGAGACACAGACAGAGTGCAAGTGAGGGAGGGGCAGAGAGAGAGGGAGACACAGAATCTGAAGGAGGATCCAGGCTCCGAGCTGTCAGCACAGAGCCCGACGCGGGGCTCGAACTCACAAACCGTGAGATCACGACCTGAACCGAAGTCGGACGCTCAACCGACCGAGCCACCCAGGTGCCCCAGTAAATAAACATTTTTTAAAAAGGCACCAAAAGGAGCGGGATTAGACACTACGAGAAAGAGGTGTGCACGACAGATGCTTCTAGAAGCCTCCCATCGATCTCTGTCCCTTGACCCTTCACACCTGTGACACCTCCTCCCCTTGGCTGTGGGATGGACCTAGTGGTTTTCTTCTAACAGAACATGGCAGCGATGGGTGGAGTGCTAAGCTGGCCTCCAGGACTCCCAGGCCCTCCCCGTGAATGTGGGTGGGGTCTCGTGCTGGGAGAGCCCCAGGGATCAAGCTCCCCATCAGTTGCCTGTCGGGTAATCAGAAGGGAGATTACCTGAGTGGGCTTGAGCGGAGACCTTTAAAACAAGAACTCTGGGCAGAGAGGCTCTCTTGCTGGCCTGGAGGAAGACTGGCCGGGAGCTGAGAGAAAATGGGGACCTCAGGGCTGCAACCGGGGGGAACTGAACAGAGCCAACACCTTGATCCCAGCCTCCGATAGCAGAGGCACGTAGGTACCCGTGGACACAGCATAAAATGTGTTAATCACATAGTAAACGGTAAAAGGACTCCCCACAGAGAAGGCTCGGTGGGTCTGGAATGAAACAAGAGTAGCAAGGGTGGCTTTGGATCTTGGCTGTGGTCAAGGGTGGAGCTCAGCTGGGGTGGGGGGTGGGGGGCGGCCCCGGGCAGACCGGGGCTTTCGTGGTGTGAAGGG